AGCCAGAGTGTATGCCCAGCCATCCATTCCTGTGAAAGATTTCCCCTGATAGTACATAGTAGATATTCTAACTACTAATATTTAGAGCAGGGGGATTTAAACTCGGAGTCCACAGATAGATTTCAGTGGGTCCATGAACTTGTATATGAAAACATTTTATCTTTATTTTTTTTTCTTTCCCTTTCTTTCTTTCTTTCTTTCTTTCTTTCTTTCTTTCTTTCTTTCTTTCTTTCTTTTTCTTTCCATCTTTATTTTCACTACCTCTAACTGAAATTTGCCATTTCCTTTGATTTTAAAAACATTATCCTAAGGAATCCATAGGCTTCAACAGACTGACAAGGAGATCCATGACATAAAATGGTCAAGGGGCAGCTAGGTTCCACAGTGGATAGAGCACCGGCCCTGGAGTCAGAATGACCTGAGTTCAAATCCAGTCTCAGACATATAACACTTACTAGATGTGTGAGCCTGGGCAAGTCACTTAACTCCCAGTGCCTCACAGCCCCCCTCCCCAGAAAAAAAACATAAAAAGATCAAGAACCCCTCATCAAGAGGAGCCTAGGTGGATCAATGGATAGACTGTTAGACTGGGAATTAGGAAGCCCTCAGTTCAAATCCTACTTTGGACTCTTAGCTAAGGGATCTTGGGCAAGTCACTTAACCTCTATCAAGCCTCAGTTTCTCAGTGGTAAAATAAGGATAATAGCAGCATCTACCTCACAGAGTTGTTGTGAAGATTAAATGAGATAAGATGCATAAAATGCTTTACACACCTTTAAGTTTCACATAAATGCTAGCGAAAATGGGCATTTTTAATGAATAAATACATTTCCACCACAATTATTTCGATACAGGCACACAATTACAAACAACCTTTCTTGGCTTCTGCTTCTCCATCTATTTAGTGAGGGAGTTATACCATATGCTCTCTAAAGTTTCTTTGGGACCTGAAAAAAATGGCGATTCTACTTACTATCTATGACAAGAGATCTGTTGTGGCTTATTGTCCCATCAATACCATCATTAAATTATTGTAATCATTGGGGTGATGATTACTTGGTTTTTTTTTTATTATCATCAGAATCATCACCTTGGGCCAATTACATAGAGCCTTCACGGCCACCTTGGGACTCTTCTACAGGCCAAGCATAGCCAGTGAATTCAGGACCCTTTCCCCAGACTTCTCCTTGTTTTGCTCCAGGAACCATAACGGCTTGGCAAAAAAACAATGATTTTGCATAAAAGAAGGAAAATAAGATTGGAGTTGCCCATTTGCAAACAGTGGGGTTTACTCTCCAGTGCTTTGTCTGACTGCTCTCTCCTACCTAACCTTGGTGTCACTTCTCCCTTCCTCCTCCCTCCTCCCTCCTTCTTTCTTCCACCTCCCTCCCACCATAGAACTTTACTCATCTAGCACCTGACAACACCACCTGCTGATTCCTACCATGTTTGAGTTCTACTCTGAGCTCCCACTCTGGAAAGTACTGAGAAAAATGAAGACGTTAAGAGAAGAATGTCAAAGGAGGAGTCAGAGAGTGAAAGAAAGACTATTTTTTGTTGTTACTGGCATAACTGGCTATTTGCTTTGCTTTTCTTTGGACCAGACTTGTGATTTCATCAGTCAAGGGAACTTCCACAGATAAAATAAAAATAGGTACCCACTCTGCAAACTTAAGAGGATCCTGGGTCATCGAGAGGTTAAATGTCCTACCCAGAGGGACACAACCAATATGTATCAGAGGTGGGATGTCAACTCAGTTCTGGCTGATTCCAAGGTTGGCGCTCTATCCACTAGGCAGAGTGCACACTGCCTCCCTCACGGGCCAAGAGATGAAATATTCATGATCTAGGGATCAGACAACAATTCTCCTATTTTTAAGTACATTGTGAGAGAGACTGCATGACATAGTGTCTAAAGCTGACCACAGAACCCAGGAGAGGTGGAGTCAAGTCCCATCTCTAACATACTGACATTTATGACCCTGGGCAATGGAGTCACTGAATTTCTGAGAGCTCTAGGCAGCTCTCAAAGGCTATAAGTCGCAGAGAAAGTACTGACTTACATCAGGAGATGCAGTTCCCCAGGCCAGTGAAATCACTTGTTAGGTCCTTGTCCTGAATATCAGAATGTACTCTTTACCACCGAGTGGCAAATTCCAGGAGCCATAATGGGCCTGGTGGAGAAACGATGATTTTGCACCAAAGAGGGAAAGCAGGATTGGAACTGACCATCTGCAAACAGTTTGACCTACTTTCCAGTGCATTTCACCACCTCTGATTTCTAGAACAGCCAGCCACTGGATATACAATACGTCTGTACAATTATGAAAGGAGCAAATCAAGGACAATTCTTGAATGCTTTAAGTACCTCTGATTTTATCAGGGAGGGTACTCTTTCTCTATGTGAAAATTACAATCCTTCTCCCATGCCTTAGGATCCAAATTAGTGAGCTGGTCTGGTTAAAAATAATCTGTCATTTGGCCACCAACCTTCTGGTTGTTGCCTGGGCTGATCCTAAAAGTGATAAATAGCCCAATGACGGTCTCAACCTCGTGCTCCAATGGAGGGCTTTTATTCCAGTGGTGCAGACCTGAAGACCCTCCACTTCACCTCCAAGTCATGATGAGACACTGGAGGTTGATATAAGTGGAAGTTTTCAAGTCTAGGTATATATCTATTCTTTGGCATTTTGTGAAAGTATCAGGAAATCTTAAAGGAGGCACTTTCACTTTATATTTCTAAGTGTTTAGGAAAATCATTTAGGGGGAAAATGAAGGCAGCTTGAATATCTCAGTCGAGACAGGTTAAAGCAAGAAAATACCTAAGATCCTATGTTTATAACTGGAAAGGACCTCAGAGATCATCTATTCCCACACCTCATTTCTACAGATGAAGAAACTGAGGCCTGGGGAGGTTATGACTTGGGTCACACAAGTAGCAAACCTCAGAGTCAGGATGTGAACCTAGAGTCAACCTTTGCCTCCCAAGTCAAAGCTCTTTCCACAGCGCCACACTGTCTCCGTGTATATTGCCCTTTGGCTAATTTCTATTTCATGTTAACTAGTACCATTTACTCGCCCATAGGAGTGTACAATTTATACTGCACTGCTGTGAAAAATCAAATGAGATAATATAGTCTAAGCCTTAAAGTATTATATAAAGATAATCAATTATTATCATTATTATTACTATTGCTATTTTTAGGTTATCATATGCTTTTTAATTTTTCTGCCTTTGACAATGCATAACTATAGGTGTGACCCTATTGAGTGCTAGACATTGTTCCCTATCACTTTCCTCATCACGTTAGCAGGAGCTGCACCAATCATGTTTTCCTTCTCTAACTTTCTCTACTCTTCATCTGACACCTATGGACATTTAAGTTGGAACTCTTATTGTTACAACTCTGAATAGAATCACCATTTTTTCAGATCCCAAACAAACATTCTTTCAACATCGAGAATGAAAGTTGATTCAAAACTTTATAACTTATAAAGTTATAAACCAACTTTATTTATTAAATATACTTTTTTTTGGTTAGGCAATGGGGTTAAGTGACTTGCCCAGGGTCACACAGCTAGTAAGTGTTATATGTCTGAGGCCGGATTTGAACTCAGGTCCTCCTGAATCCAGGGCCGGTGCTCTATCCACCACACCATCTAGCTGCCCCATTGAATATACTTTTAATGAAAATGTCACTTGATGGTTCCTTTCGACTCCAATATGAAAGTGTTTTGTTGGGTCCGTTTGTAAGTGGCGTCCAGTTACAAATACAAACTTCAGTCTAATTTGCCTCAGTTTAACAAGTTATGACCACAAGCAGCACGTCATTGGAAGCCCTTACTAAGAAACATGTTAGACATCTCACGTTTTTGGTTTTTAACCAACATAAAACCAAAAGTACAAAATGTTCTAAGTGAAGAAAAATCTATTTATTGAATCACAATTGCTATTACAATCTAAGTAAGGAAATATTGTCCATAGAGGATAAACATATATCTAGCATAGTTCCATCCTCAAAAAATAATACCTTTCATCTTTCTCAATCTTGTCAACCTCAATTTATTCTATAATTTTTCTTCCATATTTGTTATAATGTCAATAGTTCCATAGTAATGACTATCTCATCAAAAGGCTTCCCATCATCCTGCCAATTAGAACTTTGGTTTGTTCTTCTATTTCCACCTAATGCCTGTGATTACCTTTGTTTTCCTGCAACAGCCCTTCACACGTTTCTCTGAAGAGCATGGAATCTATCAGAGCTCAACACAGAATCCAACAGGGTTGGTTGGATTGGCCTGGATACAAATAACATCAAACATTTACAAAATGCTCTGCTTGGTGCAGAGCCCTATTCTAGGCACTGAGGGAGATACGAGGTCAAGATAGGACTTTTTCATCTACATATAAAGATCATAGACATATATATCACCTAGATCCCCTTAGGACTTGAGACAACAACCTCAAGGAGTGAAATGACTCTTGTCTTATAATTTTATAATGCTAAATTACATTGTAATCTCAATTATATTGACCTAGCCCCAGAACCAGAAGACCCAGGTTCAAGTCTCACTTCTTTCTAACACATACTGGCTGTGTGACCCTGGCAAATTATTTAACCTTTTACTACCAAGACCATGCAGAGAAGAAGAATGAAATCACAAGCACAGTCCCAATCCCTCAATTACATTATAGCTATCCAGCATCCAGCTTTCATTTCCTCATATTAACCTTCCAACTCAAGTTTATTCAATAGTTATTCATTCACCTACAAAGCCATCATCAATGACAAAAACAAATAAAATGCTGTCGTTGACTTCATGGAGCTGATGTAAAACTGCCGCATTATCTCTATAGCAGATAGTGGGAATTTGAGGCGTTAACAACGAAGAAAACTTAAGAGGGATATTTCTAGAGCATGCAATTTAACAAAAAAAAAAATCAGAAAGTAAAGTTAGTGTAACCCTGAAAAACCATTCCCGGATGGCAAAATACTTACTGGTTGAGGACAACATCAAGAATGAAAGTTGATCCAAAAGCATCAACTCGGAAGCTTGCCTGGTCAACGTGAGTAGACTGCAATATTAAAAAGACAAGAGTTATTTGTTAGGTAACCATAGTAGAAAAACATTTAATCAACTAAGAAGTATTCACATGATCATTGGTCCTTTAAAAGTATTCTGTTACGTAGAACAATTTAATGTGGGCCTTTAACAACACAGAGGATTAAGACAAGTTGGCTTCTTCCTAGTGGCAAAATTTTTCCCTAAGTAGGTGGTACAGTGGATAGAGCACTGGACTGGGAATCAGAAAGACTCATCTTCATGTGTTCAAATCAGTCTCAGACACTTACTAGCTGTGTAATCCTGGGTAAGTCACTTAATCCTGTTTGCCTCAGTTTCCTCAACTATAAAATGAACCGGAGAGGGAAATGGCAAACCACTCCAGTATCTGTGCCAAGAAAATGCCAAATGGGGTTGTGAAGAGTCAGACACGACTGAAAAACTGAATAACAACAAAGAAAGATAAAGTAATGCTTTCAAAAATTCAGCCAATTAGCTTTATTAAGCACCTACTTTACGCCAGGCACTATGTTAAGTGTTGGGGATACAAAGAAGGAAGGAAAAAAGTCCCTTCTCTCAAGGTGCTCACAAGTGTAATGGGAGGGACAAAATGCAAATTACGTACAAACAAGATTTTTGCTCATTCCTTTCAGTCATGTCCATTTCTTCGTGACTTCACTTGAGGTTTTCTTGGCAAACATACTGGAGTGGTTTGCCATTTCCTTTTCCAGCTAATTTTTATAGATGAGGAAACTGAGGCAAACAGGGTTAAGTGACTTGCCCAAGGCCACACAGGAAGTGTCTGAGATCGGATTTGAACTCAGGAGTCTTCTTGACTCCAGCCCAGTACTCTATCCACTGTGCCACCTAGCTGCCACCTCAAACAAGATACATACAGGATAAATTGAAGGTGGTGGAGTGGGGAGTGGGGGGAGAGAAAGTACTAAGATTAAGGAGGATTGGGAAAAGCCTCTATGAAAGTTGGGACTTTAGCTGAGACAAAAGAAACCAGGGAAGCCAGAAGGCAGAGATGAGGGACAGCATTCCAAGAATGGGGGCAGCCATGAAAACACTCGAATTGGAATGCAGAGTATTATATGTGAGAAACAGGAAGGAAGTCATTATCATTGGATAACAGAGTACATGGAGGAGAGTAAAGAAGTAATAAGCCTAGAAAAGATAGGAAGGGCTTTGAATGCCCAACAGATTTTCCAATGTTTCTCAAGAAATTAGACTCTTTTGATGAATATTTCCCTTGATCTTACCTTATTCTACTAGAAGATTTTCCCCATTAAAGTTAAGCTAGGGGTTAATTTAAAAAAAAAAAACTGTGTTATAGATAAGTGTAAAATGAGAGGAAACATTAACCCATACTCAAGTGGATACGTGACCTCTTGGGTATGGATACTCCCTCCACTGATCTAGATCATAATCCATCCATGTCTGTCCAACTCGGGATCTAAATCATGAAAATTACCATTTCCTCCAGGAAACTGTGCCTCTCAACTCAGTTATATTATTTTTCAATCATTCGTCTGCCTTTGCCCTTAAACTTCTCATCTCTGGGCTAAGCACCCCTTCCCCCCAGGCCTAGTTCCTTTATCCAATAAACACATGACATAGATTAGGATCCATATAAATGGAGGAGGGGACCCATACCAAAGAGATCATAATTCCATGGAAGTATACAAGTATGTTTCTCTCTTATGTTGTATTTTTATGTGATTCTTATTAGATTATACTTAGAGACTGTATTATATAAGCAGCTAGGTGATGTAGGGAGCGGATAGAGCACTGAACCTAGATTCAGAAAGACCCGAGTACAAATTTGGCCTTGGACACTTAATAGCTGTGTGACCTTAGGCAAGTCATTTAACCTCTGTCTGCCTCAGTTTCTTCATCTGTAAAATGGGGGCAGTAATAGCACCTACCTCCCATGAATGTTTTGAGTGTCAAATGAGATAATTTATGTAAAGCAAACTATGAAACCTAAATAAATGCTAGTTATTGTGGTTGTTGTTGTAGCTGTTATTTTTATCCTCTTGGGCCACTCCTTCCCACATGAGCAAAAGCTAAAAGATCTTGAAAATTACTGCTGGAACATCTGGAATCCTTAGCTGAAATTCCAGGAAACTTCTTAGAAGCATATATGACTAGAAGGAAAAATATAATAATCTATCTCCTAGGAAAAGCCCTGATGCCTCAGAGCTGAATCCTGATAGGCAGGAGAAGGGCTCCTCCCTTCCCTTTGGAGTTTTAAAAAATTTATAGAACTTCTATTGTGTTGCAGGTTATTGCTGTTGCTTTTTTAATTTGGTATTTTTGCTTCATGGCATTTATATTAATGGAGGCAGGATAAAGTCCTGTGGGCAACATCTTCTTTCACTGAATTTTTTTTCTAGAAAAGTATCCTAGGTGGCACAGTGGATAGAGCACCAGCCCTAGAATCAGGGGGACCTGAGTTCAAACATGGCCTTAGACACTTATTAGCTGTGTGACCCTGGGCAAGTTACTTAATCCCAATTGCCTCTCCCTCCCCCCCCAAAAAATAAAAGGAAAGTATCCTAGAAATCTAACTTCAACATTTATACATTACAACACAACATTTATCAAGAACCTACAAAGCATTTCAGTGGGTGCTGGGGTCTCCAAGGTGAAAACCAACACTCTGCCCTCAAGGAGTTCACAATCTGGGAGGAAAGCTAAAACAAATTATTATAATACACGTTTTAATATGGTAAGTGCATAGATGAGGTCTAATCAGAACAGCATCAGAGAGCTTAGGAGTAAGGAACTGCTTCTTCCTCATGGGGGAGGTACTTTCCCCTCAATAGATGGAACTTTGAGGAGAATCCATGAATGGAATAGAAGATGTTGTGTAGCAATGCACAGAGCACAGGATGCATAGGCATCAGGCAAGAGAAGGTCAGCAAGTAGTCTGGTGGGACAGTACATAAAGAGCAGTGTTATGAGATGAGGTTGTATGGGGACCAGTTTTATTAGCCTTTAAATAACAGAATAATGAGTTTGTATTTTATACTCAGAGCACTACAGCAGGAAGGAGGGAAGAAGTATCTACAGTGAGATATTTTTTAAAACTACTTTTTAATACTAATGTACTAATACTAAGTTTTACTAATTTTGCTGCTATGATTATTTTTAATGCTAAATTACTAATAATAGTAATAATAACTGATGTTTTTATCAGGATTTCAAAGCACTTTAAATACATATCTCATTTGAGTCTCCCAATATAACCTTGTTAGGTGCTATTATTATTCCTATTTTACAGATGAGGAAAATGAAGCTCAGAGTGGTTTGGTGACTTGACCAAGGTTGCAGAACTAGTAAGTGGCTGAGGAGGGACATATCTTTAATGTCAGAAAACATTGTTCTCCATTGCACATATGTATTTATTTTGTGATAAGTCATCTTATATGGGTGACAGTGAAGGCTCCAAGCTAGTATGGTGGATTGGTGGCTACCTTCACCAACACACAAGAAAGATGGAAAATGGGCTTCATTAATAATTCTCTTTATCTATCTAATGCTTAATAACGCAAATGACTTGCCACCAATGAGACTGAACATTTTGCTTAGTTGCAATATGTTTCCACCCTGGAAAAATAAAAAAAAAAAAACTGCACAGTTCAGCAAAGTCTACATGCCACAAATCTAATGGTGAATTCAGTGCATTTCCTTCATTAGAAAAGCTGATTTATAATTTTCAGCTATATTAATGTAAATCTGCATTTTTTTCTCATTTCTTTAAAGCAACAACCATTGATGGATGCCTAATAAGCATGACGGTGTCACACTATCCACCTCCCCCATTCTTGTCACGAAAAAGAGGGTGATGATAAGTCAAAAGACATAATAAATAACAATAAAATATGACAATAAAAACAACAATAAAATAGAACAAAAATGACAAGAGAAGACATTCTAGTTGTCTAATCACAATGAACACAATGCAACTAAGTTGGAATGGGCTATATTCACAAAATCTTAATTATTCACAAAATCAAACAACATTCACCCGTTTCCCCTTTTACATAACTAGATCTTTGTGCTGTGCTGACAGGGACATCAGAATGTTTATTCGGTGCCAAATGCAGAGTACAGAAGTGGCATCCAGATTCTGCAACAACAGAAATACACCACTACAGATACAAAAACTGTCCAAGAAAAAAATTAAATCCAGTTGCAGTTCATAGGTTTAAATAACTAGTTAATACTATGAAAGTACTACCTGTCATACATACATGACTCTTAATTTAAAATTTTTTTTCTCTAAAGGCCCAATAATAAAGAATAATGAATAAGCCAGTAGCCAGGGGACTGACTTCAGGAAGCTCAGTAAGTGATGAAAATCCTTCCAGTTGAGTAAACATGAATGATACTCCATCATGGACAAATCTTAATGGCTAAAGTAGGCACTACCTACGACTTGGGCAAAGACACCAATTCAAAAGCCATCCACAACGAGGCTTACTAGTTTATTCGGTAATTGCATGACATGTGAGTGTTCAGGTCCCACCAACTGCACAGGTGCAGAGAATTCATAATCAGTCCTGGTGGGCAGAAGCAATTCCTGAGTACAAGAACAGCTCACAGGCTGCAGAATCTAGAAATCTCCATACGCATGTTCCATCAGAACCTCAAATTCAGCATATCCAAAATGGAACACATTATCTTCCTCCTTAAGCCTGCTTCTCATCCAAACCTGTCTATTTCTTTTGAGGATATCACCTCCCAGTCTCTCCTGTTCCCAACTTTGAAGAAATTCTTCTTCACTCTTCCAAGAGCCTTGGGAATAACAATGCTTCCAGATCAATGCCCTCGGGCATCATCCTGAGAAGCAGCCCCCGTAGAGATTTAGCATGGGAAAAAAGTGTCTAAGCACAGTAAGCACTTCACAAATACTCACTGTCTTGATTGCGTTCACTTCTGCAGGTGCTCCAGCCACAGTTACTGAAGACCCAGAAAAGAAAGTTCTTGCTGCCCAAATCC